AACATCACAGTAGACATGTCCAGAAGATAGTCACCAGCACATAAGTAATGAGTCATGAGACTTGAGAACACCACCAAGGGAGTGTAGGAAGGGAACAGCTCCAGAGAATGAGCTAATGAGGCCTGAAAAGGAGAAGGAAGACAGAGTAATTAGAAAGTTAGAACTGGAGGGAAAACATGGATAGAGAGAGTTGGGAAGACCTGTAAGACTGAACAATCACAGGTTCACAGTAGATAAAGGGTAGCTTTATGTAGAAATGGGCAAAGAGAGGAAACTATGTCAAGGATTGTGCTGGGTAGACAGTCCCATCAATGATGTGTTTGCCATGCAAACACGGCAAACTAAAATCCACTTAAAACCTGAGAGTCTGGAAAGGAATTCTAGGCAAAAAACAAAACAAAACAAAACAGTTAAGCACGGCTTAACACCTGTGGCTCCTTTAAGAGAGGTTTTCCTGATTCAGGGGTAGCAGAAAAAAAACTGTGCAGTTTTGAAATGGTAGTTTTCTGGGCTGTGCTGCCAGTGTGAACTCTGGCTCTTTCAGGAGGCCCAGCATTAAATGGGGTTTGTGGGCAGTGTGCTGCAAGTTACTTGGTGGCAGCATGGGCCAACTGGTTATGAGAGTTGACGTGGTGAGGATGGCTCCCACCCGGCAGTCTCAGAGGCAGTGAACAGGCTTCTGCCAAGTCAGACTGGGTGGGAGCAAGCAGGCAGAGTCGTATTTCCCCTAGCAACGCCGCCACTTAGGTTTTTAAGAAGCAGTCTAGGTCAGAAAAGGATTATAGATACACAATAAAGACAAATTCAGATGGAAAAGACCTCTAAATGGGTCACAGTGTTGGATAAATGTGCATAGGTTTGGGAAAGAGAAGAAAAAGAGCAAAGAAGGTTATAAAAAAGAGACAGTACAGTCATAGATTAAAAGGAATAAAGAAAAATAAGCCAAGTAAAGATGGAATATACACAGAGAATCTGGATTATGTATATTATTGTGTTTTCTTTGAATTTTTTGTCTGGAGAGAGACATTTGATTCTGGGGACTGCTAAGCTAAATCAACATACATGTTTTAAAGGTTTCTTGACTTCAAAATTTGAGTCTAAGGATATGTTGCTTTGGAAAAGAGGTTCTTCTTTTGTTTCCAAAGAGGATGAGAACATGTGGAATCCTTCCAGACTAATGCAGTTTGATGGACCAAGATCATCCAAAAAGTCTCTGTGAACACCCCCAAAATTAGTTCACCCAACAAAAAGCAGGAAGTAGTCTGGAGAGAACTATGTCCAAATTCCCAAATATTGTTTATAAATGTTTGTTTATATTTAAAGGGGGATATGCCATAAAGATCTGTATTGGTATAGATCTTGGTTTGATACAAATTTAAGGTAAATTTTGTTATATGTATATTTCTACTCTTGATTAAGGTATTGTGATTATGAAATTTAAAAATGTAATATATAATTAAGAAATATATGTTAACAGAGAGCCATCTATAATAGTCAAGCTTATAGTCATGTTAGTTTCTCTAGATGTACAGAGATATATTTCAGTTAGATAGATGATCTTCAAACCTTTCAAAGACCTACAGAATATGGAATTTAAAATGTTTTAAGAACTAAGACTTTTCATGACAGTGAGACACATCTGCTCCTGGCAGCACCAATTACTTTAAGAGAACCCACAGAGAAATGATTGCTGAACATGCCTAAAGGAGAGATGGTCCTTTGGGATTCCTGCTACATGAAAGAGTCTGTCAGACATTCTGCCAGGAATAAAGCACCTGATAGACTTGGCCATTACAAATTTCCTGCTTCATGGAAAAGTCTGCTGGATATTATGGGCCTGTGGGCTAAAGACTGGATGCCCCAACGATAAAGAAGAACTTTGGGTGACTATCCAGGCAGCAAATGTCTCTCTCAATTCTAGAGTTTTGGAAGTTGCTTACAATGCTCTTCCTGTTTACTTAGGTAATATTATATCTTTCTGAAGTATTTGATGGAGTTAAAGAATAGATAGTTATAATTATAGTTTTCCTTAGTTATGATAAAAGATAAAGCAGATATCAATATTGTAACTATAATCCTTGCTTGATAATTGACTTGTTATATGTAATTTTTCTGTTAAAGTTAAAAGTTAAAATCTTCCTTTTTATTTAAATAGAAGAGGGGAGGTGATGTGGGATTCCCTTCTGAACGCTGTGAATATCATTGGTTAATAAAGAAACTGTCTTGGGCCTGCGAAGGACAGAATAGAGGTAGGTGGGAAAAACTAGACTGAATGCTGGGAGAAAGAAGGCAGAGTCAAGATAAGCCATGTAGCCCTGCCAGAGACAGGCACTGGTAAGCCACAGCATCATGGTGATAGAAAGATTAATGGAGATGGGTTCATTTAAGATATGAGTTAGCCAGAAATATGCTTAAGCTATTGGCCAAGCAGTATTGCAAATAATATGCTTTCTGTGTGATTATTTTGGGGATAAGCAGCTGGGAACAAACAAGTGGCCTCCTACTACAGGGCCCTGAGTTCAATCATCAGAACTCATGTGTGAAAAGGGTGGGCATGGTGGCACACTTGTAATCCCAGTGTTGTAAACATGGGGAAGGAGGATTCTTCCCTGAGGCTCACTTGGCCAGCCAAACAGTCTAGCCTAATGGTGAACCCTAGATCCCATTAGAGACCTTGTATCAAAAACAAGGTGGAAGGTTCATGAAGAATGGTATCTGCGGTGGACATCTGACCTCCATACACATGTGCACACACTTGGCATGTACAGCAGCACATAGGTACTCCTGCACACATGAACACACACCACAAAGAAATAAATATGGCTGCATATACTGATGCACACCTTTAATCCTAGCACTTAGGAGGCAGAGGTGGAGGCAGGCAGTCTCTATGAGTTAAAGGCTAGCCTAATTTATGCTTATATAATGGGCTCCAGGCTAGCCAAGGCTCTATAGTGACACCTGTCTCCAAACAAAACAAAACAAAGATGCCAAAAGTTAAGTTTTTTTTTTTTGTCCTGGAACTAGCTCTTAGAGACCAGGCTGGCCTTGAACTCAGAGAGATCCACCTGCCTCTTCCTCCTGAGTTCTGGGATTAAAGGCGTGCACCACCACTGCCCGGCCAAAAGTTAAGTTTTGATAAAAGAAATTAATAGTATAAAGTGGCAAAGAACTATCAAAGAGAAAAAACACCGGATGCCTTTAGCAACTGTGCAAATAAATTAAAACTTACAACTTAAAAACCTAAAACATACTGACTGGCTAATACCAAACTCATGTAGATTCTACAAATGGGAACACAAGTATTTCTCTACCATTTATCTTTTTGGCTTATATCTTATTTATTTTATAGTTGCCTGGTTTGTTGACTAATTGAGTAAATAAATTTTTTGTCTTTTGAGACAAAGTTTCATGTATGCCAGGTTGGTCTCTAACTCACTAAGTAGCAGAGACTGACCCTGTACTTCTGATCCTTCCCAGTGCTGGCAATACAGGTATGTATCCCCAAAATGTCCTCTTTATTTGGTGCTGGGGATCAAATCTGGGACTTCACAGATGCTACAACAGCATAGTTGAGAGACCCTATCTCAAAAACAAGGTGGAGAGTGTGATAGGGGAATATACTTAATGTCTACCTCTGGCCCACGCACACGCACGTGCGCGCACGTGCACACACACACACACACACACACACACCTCTGATGCTAAATATGAATAACCAACTTATTAATAAATGTAACTCGGGGCTGGTCAGAAGCAGAGCACTTGCCCAGTACGACCGAGAGCAAGTTAGAAAATTAGCACCGCACAATAGACACCATAATCTGGCAGCCGAAGCCTTTGGATGTATGCATGAGACTTCAGAACAACTGAGTATGCTTTTGATGTAAAAATTATTTTGATTTGGAAGCAGGTTAGAAATATCAAATTAAAGAAAAGCTTCCACCGGGCAGTGGAGGTGCACACATTTAATCCCAGCACTTGGGAGGCTGAGGCAGGCAGATCTCTGTGAATTCAAGGACAACCTGGTCTACAGAGCAACCTTGTCAAGAGAGAGACCCCCATAAATATGTTTTCTCCCTGATGGATATCTACAGTGGACTCTGTAAACGTCCTTCATAAACTCCCTCCCATGTATTTACTCCCGTACTTTTCCACCCTGGAAGCCTGGAGCCCCTTTTTGTCCTATTAGTCTCCCACAAACATGCTTTTAGCTGAAGAAGCTACAAAGCAAGAGTTATGTTATTTTTCACACAGGGTCTTACCATGTACCACAAAATAGCCTAGAGTTCACCATTCTGTTGCCTTGGCCTCCCATGTGTGATTTCAGCCATGTACTTCTACCCATGAGAGAAGAGCTATAAATCAGTGACTCTTCCTTGAGGCGTCTGTACCCTCACTTGAAGCAGTCAAAACATTTTTCAGTATATATTAAGCATCAAATATATAACCAAGAGCTACTTACCATAAAATAAACTAAAAGCCAGGCAAGATGGTACATGTCTATAATTGTAGCACCTTGGGAGGTGGAAGCCATACAATTAGATAGTCAAGGCCAGCCTTGGGTTTTTTTTTCTCCTTTAAAGATTTACTTATTATGTATACAGTATTCTGCTTGCATATACTCCTACATGCCAGAAGAGGGCATTGGATCTCCAGATCTCTTTACAGATGGTGAGCCACCATGTGTTTGCTGGAACTTGAACTCAGGACCTCTGGAAGAGTAGCCAGTGCTCTTAACTGAGTCATCTCTCTCCATGAAACTGTTTTTTTTAAAAAATGAAGGTAATATACAAGGTGATGGTATGGCACGCCTTCAATCCTAGCACTCAGGAGGTAGAGGCAGGAGGATCTGTGAGTTTGAGGCCAGCCTGGTCTAAAGAGTGAGTTCCAGAACAGCTAGGGTTGTTACACAGAGAAATTCTGTCTTGATAAAAAACGGAGAATACTGTGTGCTGACTGTGGCCCCGCCCACCCTCCAGCTTCCCACTGGTACTCACACTCTCGGAGGCACTCTGTGTCTGTGCAGTAGGACTGGGACTGCCGAAGCTGCGCGTGAGAGGAAAGGACAGTTAGCTGCTGAGTCACCAACAGGGGTTTGGGGGTCGGCGGGGTGGGGGGGCAGAACTCAGTGTTGGAGCTAGCTCAGCCCGCATGCACTGCATGCAATTCCTAGCATCACACAATAAAGAAGCAAATCAGCTTTTCGAAAGTTTAGACATATTTACTTATTTTTTTAAAATTTATGTATTTATTATGTATGCAACATTCCTTCCATGTGTGCCTGCAGGCCAGAAGAGGGCACCAGATCTCATTATAGATGGCTGTGAGCCACCATGTGGTTGCTGGGAATTGAACTCAGGACCTCTGGAAGAGCATCCAGTGCTTTTAACTGCTGAGCCATCTCTCCAGTCCCTAGACATATTTATTTTATGTGGGTATCCTGCTTGCATGTTCGTCTGGGCATCACGTGTATGCCTGGTGCCCAACTGAGGTCAGCACTAGGTATCAGGCTTGGGAGGGGCACAGAGGGTTTAAGCTACCCTGTGAGTGCTGGGAAGCGAACCCAGGGCTGATCTCTGGAAGAGCAGCTAGTTCACTTAACCCGCCATGGTCTTGAGCCATCTTTTCAGGACCTTTACTTTTTTGAGACAGGGTCTCATGGGGACGAGGCTAGCCTCAAACTCACCACACAACAGAGGAACATCATAAACTCCTGATCCTCCCTGCTTCTACCTCCCAAAGGCTAGGATTGTCACCATATCCAAATATAACATTTTGGACAAATAAAACCTTTGGTTTTAGAATATAAAATATTTTAAAATCCATCAGTAAATTACACAAGTCAACTTATGAATGAATTTATGCTACCATTTTTCAGGTAGTTAAGAAATGAAAATCTCACTAGAGATGACTGTACAGTAGAGTCAAGACATGCAACTTTTCAATTCAGTCTCAAGAATGACACCCTCTTATATATTCAGTAACACCGCGTCTGCTGCCAGCCCAGTGTAACGAGTCTTTTTCTGTTCCATCAGGCAACTCCCAAATAATGACACGGAGACTTCTTATTAATTATGAAAGCTTGGTCTATAGCTTAGGCTTGTTCCTAACTAGCTCTTATAACTTAAATTAACCCATCTGTATTAATCTGCGTTCTATCATGTGGCATTACCTCCCTTCCATCTTGTACCCATTTTCTCTCCATGGCTCCTGGCAGCTCCTGTGCATCTAGATTCCTTCTCCTCTTTCTTTCTCTCTCCCTGGAAATCCCACCTATACTTCCTGCCTCACTACTAGGCAGTCAGCTTTTTATTACACCAATCATATCTTCACACAGTGTACAAGGAGCCCACAACACCAAGAGTGCAAACTATTTGTGTAGCAACCAAAAGAACTACTGCTGCACTGGGCTCTGCAGAATGACAGGCATTGTCTTCAAGTCAGGCTAGGCAACTTTCAAGTGTTTCAAGACTTTGGGAAAGTTCCTTGACACCTCTAAACATTAGTTTGCTCATCTACTAAAATGGGGACAAGAAAAGTGCCCACTTATCAGGGTACCATCAGGATTAGCACAGATGACACGTGTGAAGAGCAGAACAGACCCACTAAACCCTATTATGATCGTGCTGCAGAGTCCAGTCTCACGAATAGGGCTGCAATTAAGTAGTCATTCTGTAGGTGATGAGTCTTGCTGAGTCCAAATGGAAGCAAAAGATCCTAACTAATGTAAAATTATGCTCTGTATCTTAACCCACTCTATCTGAAAGGGACCATCTAAACACACTAAGATTATTGCAAGGGAAAATAAGATTTTTTTTTTTTGCTGCTGTTTTGTTTTTGAAACGATGTTTCTCTGTGTAACAATCCTGGCTGTTTTGGAACTCAATTTGTAGATCAGGTTGTACGCCTGTCTCCCAAGTGCTGGGATTAAAGGCATGCACCACCACCTCACAGTGACTACAAGCCTTTTAAACAACAAAACAGACTCAACAAACTTTTCCATGTGTGTGTTTTTAATTTTATTTCTTCTCACAAGTAATATTTACATACTAAAAATTTAAAAGTACAATGTAAATCTCCCAGTCTCTCAATAGCCTCCCCAAGCACTCAATTTTTTTCTTTACTCTTAGAGGTGAATATGTTCTTTCAAACATTGGGGGGGGGTAGCCCAGTGGGTAAAACAACCGCCACATCAACAGAAGGGTCTTAGTTTAAATTCTCAGAGATCACAGGTGTAGTGTGCATCTGTAATCCCAGCACTCCTACAGCAAGAGGATGTCTATCTGCCTGTCTGTCTGCCTATCTGGGTTCAGACAAGAGAGTCCCTGGAAGCTTGAAAGTCAACTAGTCTTAGGTACACAGTGGGGAACAAAGAAATCCTTTTGAAATGTAGACCAGGTTGACCTCGAAACCATTGAGATCCACCTGACTTTGCCTCCCAGGTTCTGGGATAAAAGGTATATGTGCCACCAGGTCACTTTTATAAATATGTCTTTAGGTAAGCATGCATCTCCCTAACTTTAATCATATTTTACATTTGCTATAAATCTTTTAATGGCATGATTAGGCTTATATTTAAATTGATAAAATCTAGTTGGGAAATTTCAGTTGTTCTTTGTTGGTAGCAATTTTTTTTTTAAAGTTTTTGGGATCAAACTTGAAATCCTTCTACCTCAATCTCTCCAGTGTTGGGATTTCAGGCCAGTTTCACCATGCCTGGATTAGTCAATTTCCTTTACATCATACGTGAGGACCCACAAATGTGAGCCTGTTCCACCCTGACTGGAGATCAGAGAGGTTGAGCTTATTTTTGCTCTTTCAAAGTTGTTGACAGCAGGTGTGGCTATACACCCTGACCTAGGGTATGGTTACTTGGTGTTTTGGACATAAGATGGATCCACTCCATCATGAGCAAAGGTCAGAGAATTCAAGTATACTCCTGTGCTCCTTCATTTAAAATAGGAGGTTCGACATAGGGATGGCCTGCCTATAGGATATGTGGTCTAGTGTGTGTTCACTGCATATCCTGCCCAAGATATCATGCTTTTCTCAGGAAATAACGGCTTCATGTTTCAAGTACTGAAGCAAGTAACTGCTCTGGTTATCCTCTGTGTCATGGTAAAGCAGTCTTTTGCTTTTTTGGGCCCCTTTTGTATTGGGGTAGAAAAGTTTATGAAAAATAAGCGTGTGTGGATTCACTATTCACTGAATGTCCCTCCTGATGCTGTTTTCTGTGTTTCTGTCTCTTATTTCCCTGATATCTCTGTTCCTTTTGCCTAGTAATTCTAATCCTCATGGTCCTACCCTGTCGAAGCTGGTCTTAATATTCCCCCCCCCACTCCGTCCCTCCCCTGGTCTTAATATTCTTCAACAGCATCATTTAGACATTGGGACAGTAGATAGCTGATGCCAGGCTTGGTGGCACATGCCCTTAATTCCAGCACTTGGAAGGCAGAGGCAGGTGGATCTCTGAGTTTGAGGCCAGCCTGCATTATAAAGTGAATTTCAGGACAGCTAGGACTACACAGAAAGACCCTATCATAAAAAACGGTAAATAATCCATGATCATACCCTATCTAACCACTAAAGGTTGAGACAGGAGGATTTCTGTGAGTTCAGGTCATCTGTTTTTGTGTGAAAAAGCTAGTTAAATCCAATTTATGGGGCAAGCAATGAGCATCCCAGATACTAGGTCTCAGATGGCAACTGTCCTCTCAGCAGACCTTACAGCATGTGTTGGTTACAACTTATCTAGGAAAAGAAACACCTCCTAAATTAAAGATGACCAGCAGGAGTGTGAGGCTCCTCCGTGAGGGCACACTGTTTCTTCTGAGTGTTGAGCATCCTAGTTTGGCAATCAAGGCATTTTCTACTGTTACTTATTAGCTGTGAGTCTTGTACTCTCCCTGGACAGGGGCTTGGGGGACAGACAAGGAGGAGCCCTTCTTGTCTTGTTATGAGGGCTCCTGATTCTGCAGGTCTAGAGTCTGGCCTGGCTGAACCAGCAGCTCAGAGTACCAAGACTCAAGCCCTTCTGGCTCCTGACACTAGACCTCTGCTGCAGCCACTTAGGTTGCCGCCTCTACTCTGGGCTTTAACCACAGTTGCCCTGGTGCTTGGCAGGTACTGTAGGATTCTGGTAACAATGAGCTGTGATGGCGAAGCAGCAAGAGGCAGCGGGCAGTGCCTCAAGTGTGACAGCTACCAAACAGACTGGGTGCTGGGACCCGAGACCTCATAGTGTCTAGTACTGGGGCTTCCGGGCAGTCGTTCCTCCTCTCAGCTCTTCACAGTGCTCTTTCCTCAGCTCAGCTCTTTGCCATCTTCTGACTCTCCAGTCCCTCTCTCCCTGCCTCCGATACCTCTGCTCCCCACTGTTTCTGCCCAGCAATTCTTCGGACCACTTCAGCTGCATCTCATTACCGCTCCTTGGGTTTCTCCCTGTAACATCTCATCTGCTGCTGTGTCTGCCATCCTGTCTCCTGGTTATCTGCTCAGTCCACTCCACTAATGATAAAGATCAAAAGAAGGCAAGAAAAATCTAGGTAAGTCTTTTATGGAGCCAAATGTTGGAACACTGGGCGACGGGGCAAGGACAATGTCAATCAAGGCATGTGGGTAAAGAACCACATCTGTACTAACCTGGTAAGAGTTAAGGGCACTGTTTACCAGCCACAGGATCTCTGTATGACAGGAAGGGGTGCTCTCCCTCTGGTCTGTACAGTGATGGCTACAGGGTTGTTAGAGTTCCCAGAGGCTTGTGATGGCAAAGAAGAGTGTAGTGAATAAAAGAGCCTGTTGCTGAGCCTGACAACCTGAGTTCAATCTATGGATCCAGACGGTGTAGGGAGAAAACCAACTTCTCCAGGCTGTCCTCTGACCTCTGAGTTCACACTGCAGTATGTGTATATCTGCATGTGCAGGAGGGAACTTGTGAAGGAAGTTTACAGTCTACAGTAGACCTCCATCTTCAGCAAAGATTTATATTTTGTCATTAGGGAGAAAAACGTGTTGATGGGGGTCTCTCTTTCTCTTTCTTGACAGGG